GAAAAGATTTATAAAGCAAGATAACGATTAACAGGTGACTTGAAAGACTGCAAGTTACATGAATCAAGAAAAGAAGATGAAGGGAGGGAATTCCAAAGAACAGATGTTCAAGAAAAAAAACTAGATAAATAAGGAGCAGTCACAGTAAAAGAATGAGACATAGTTCAATGACAAGTAACACATGAATGAATTTTAGTAGATGGTACAAGAGGCGCTAGCTCCTTAGAGCAGGGCCCACTATAGTATTTATAGAAAAGAGAAAGAGAGGCAACATTACCCTGGTGTGACAATATTTGAAAGTTGGCTGCAAAAGCAGATCCAACTATGTTTAAAATGCCTTTTTGCACCTTATCTAAAAGAATAAGGGCATCATTCAAAAATCCGCTCCAGATATGACAACAGTATTCCATACATTGATGGATTTGAGACTTATAGAGATAAAGAATTGAATCCAGAGTAAGAAAATGACAAGCATGTCATAAAGAGATGCAACCTTAGCAGATGCTAATTTTGCAATCAATCTGATATATAAATTCATAATCATAGAAGAAGGGTAAATAACTTATTAAACACATTACCATATAAAAATATAGAAAGATCAAGATTGTTGTAATAATGATTAGCGAAAAAAATCGAGTTTTATCTGAATTAAAGTTCACCAGCCACTGAGAGCCCCATGCTGCAGCAGAAGTAAGATTCTTTTCAAGCTCAAATGCCCCCGCAAAGCAATCAGAGAGTGTTAGCTTCTTATCAAGACAAGAATAAATGGTAGTATTGTCAGCGAACAATGCCACCTTATATATGCGAGATTCTGGGAGATTGTTAAAGTAAGTATAGGGCCTAGGGTAGAACTTTAATGGCTCCCTGAAGTTACAGAAAAGGAGGAAGAGTGATGTCCATTGAGGGAAGCCTTTATTCTATAATTGGTGAAGATGGATTCAATAATCTTTAAGATGTTACCTGATACACTAAAGGAAGAGAGCTTATGGAGAAGACCAACATCTTCAGCCTTTTCACATTTATTTCTGGTATGATAAAATCTATTAGTTATTACCATCAAGAAATTATTTATCTTGCACTTCTTCTTTGGACTCACTTAAAGGTGCACTACTTACTACTACCCAAAAGCTGAATGGAGTTCTTTTTGTGATTTTCTTTGTGACAATTCTTGGTCTTATTTCTTTTCTCTCTCAAGTGATAAAGCAGGAATGGAAGTTTTTATTTCTTTTCTTCTATGTCGAATCTTGAATCTTATAGCCAATTGCAATAATTTTTTCCAATACTTACACATAACATGACACCACTTAAAATCATTCTGCGTAAATTCAAAATTTTCGAAAAATAACCAGTTTGTTTTTCCTATGAATGATTTAGCTACAGTTTTTCTCACCTTAAGCAATAGTTCTTCATCATCTATGGAGAAAACAATTGTTCTCTGTTCATGGGTCCAATTATGACGTTTCATAATCTTTATGCATGCTTGGGCAATATCAGTTGTATTTTAATTTGTAATGCTCCATATCCCTCTGAGCATGTAAACATGCAAGCAGAGCTCTTAAAAATTAATATATATATATATATATATATATATATATATATATATATATATATATATATATATATATATATATATATATATATATATATATATATATATATATATATATATATATATATATATATATATATAGAAAAAGGATTCATAAGCAAATAATAGTAAATAATAAGGTATTTTGCTTACAGAAGTGACTTTTTTCTATAACCCTGCTAATGGTAACGTGTAATCCTGTACTACCTGCCCCATGTTCTGGTGCCATGTTAGATACAAATTAGTCAGACATAAAAATCACTAACAAACTGAGCAAAAACAATGTGTTGTATGTCATTTGAAATAAAAAGATTTTATTATGCATTCCACACTGTGGAATACATGATAAATTGCATAAATAAGAATTCTTTAATGATGGAAAGCGCTAGGTCTTTTAAATTAAAAGACTGCGACAATTTTAAATAAATATACAACTGTTTGCTGGAGAAGTTACTTATAGTCACCTCATGGTTTTTCTGTAAAACTTCACTATAAAATTGTGAAACATTTCGACCCTTAAAAAATATTCAAATATTTTGATTTGTTTTCATGTAAATATTTTTCTTTGTATTATGATGTCTTAATAAGTTTTTTATAAAAAATTATTTTTTGATAAATGTTTCAATGTTACTTTTCTAGTTAACCAATTTTTAATTTTTAATTTTCATAATTTAATTGGATAACATGTTATCTATGTTATCTATCAGATAACTTGTTATCTTTGTTATCTATGGATCGGATAACATGTTATCTATGTTATTATATCAGTTTTATCTAATATCTGTAAGTCTGTCACTTTTATTTTTGCCAACATGGGGTCTACATGCTAGCCAAATTAGCAACCTCTCCATCTTTTAATTTTTGACATCACTTCATTTACCTATCCATTGTTACTTGCAGTTGTTTCAAATAATGCTCTGTCAACTGCTTCAAAAAGATATGGTTGTTCCATACCCATCTGGAATTTCAATAACTTTTATTATTCATTGAAGTTTGTGAATTCCGAATACCTACCAACCTTTTCACATTTCACAAGTGTTACTAAGCAAAAGCTCAAGAAAAAATAGTCATAAGATTGAAATTTTGCATCACAACAAAAAAGTAAGTTGTTATTTATGCCATGCCAACCATGTAACTTCAACACTATTTGCAAATTAGAGGTTAATAACTATCAATACAGAAATTCGAAAATTAAATCTTTGAAAAAAATGTAGGGTTATATTTTGTTACCATACCCAATATATTTTGTTACCATAGCCATGATTTAACTTACTAAGTTATTATTGGCTAAACTCAAGTATAAATAGTACTTCACACCTGAAATATATAATTTTCAGTTGCTTGATCCCTTTTTATTTTAAACTTAAAGTTGAAACAAATAGCTTTTTGTTGTCTTGTTAATGCACACCAACAGCAATAAGAACAACAAGGCATGATTCATATGTAACACAGCACTTTTAATACTAATACTAATATTTTACAGCTGTTAATGTGATTAATGTTAATGCCTCACTGAAAGGGATTAGCCTCACTGAGAGATGGGATTAATGGGATAAGCCTCACTGAGAGATACCACAGAATTTGGGTAATGTTACTACTAGCTATACCCATTTAACTGAGTTTTAAAACTTCTAATGTTTAATATGAGAGAGATATTAACAAAGCAACAATCTAAGACTAAGGAGAAAACAGCTGTTTTATTTATGCCATCTACCGAGAAAACAACTGTTCTCTGTTTATGGGACCAAAAATGTTGTTTAACAATATGTTTATTCATATTTAGGCAACATCAGACGTTTTTTACTTTATAATGCTCCATATCCTTTATTGCTTGTAAATCTATCTCTGGAGCAGCACATGCAAGCAGAGCTCTTGATAATTATATATAAAAAACACCAACAAACTCAGCAAAAATTATAACATGTGAAATGTTGTTTTTAGAAAAAAGATACAAAAGTAATTAATAGTAAAGAATAAGGTATTTTACTTTCAGAAGTAACTTCTTTCTACTCTTGGCCAGGTCAGGTTCAGGATCATCACCATCACCCCACTACTAGTAACCTGTAGTAACTCAGTTCTACCTGTCCCATGTCCTACTGCCATGGCATTAGCCATCAAGAAAGGTATCAACATGGTGTTTACCATTAATATGGTATTTTAAACTCAATGAATTTGAGAAACAGTAGCAACATTTAAAATAGCCCTTCTTGTAAGAGGCATGCGGTCACACACCTTATATGACTTGACTTATATGAGTTGACCTTATATGACCTCGCATATAATATTTTTTTTTGACAACTTGGCACGCCAATTAGCAAATTTTGATAATTTGCATGTTTTTATAAATGCGCTGAGAAAACTAAACTAAACTGATGAGAAAGTTATAAAAATAAATGAACCATAAACTGAAAAGAGAAACAAAATCTTTGCAAATAATAAAGCAAAGCCCAGAAAAAATAAAAGCATAAAATGAACATATGTCTTTTTTAATTTAAAAGTATTTTACTTCATAGGATTTAGAAAAGATTGAAGTTTTAGAGTTATTTAATCCAAGCTTAATTACTATAAAGCTTAATTATTTTAAAAATTTGAAAATTTTAATTCTTCTCATTTCTACTAAAGCAAATAAAACTTATAAACAAAAAGATCCATTAAAAGGATTTGAACATCTAATACAGAACTATCAGTCATGCTTTAAATATATAACATTAAATCATCCTAAGCACTACATACTAATTTCTAAATAGCTTTTAATTTAAAAAAATTCAATTTATAACATTAAATCATCAGCGTTACACTGCTGTTGTGATAATCCTTAAATTTAAACAATTAATTTTTTAAAATTAAAAAATTGTCCTGTTTTAAAACTAAAAAATTGTCAAACTTTCGATTGAGACACTTCTAATTTAAAAAAAGTATAATAATTTTATACTTTTATTTATACAGGTTTATCTTTTATCTTTTTTATTATTTGGTAAGATTTTGTTTCTCTTTTCAGTTTATGGTTTCTTTATTTTTATTTTTCTCTTCATTTTAATTTGGTTTTTAGCTCATTTTTTAAACATGCAAGTTATCAAAACATGCCCAGTGCTGTGGTTTTTGTCAAAGCAAAATATTATATGCATGGTCATATAAAGCTTGTACTGTATGTCTCGTACTAAAAGGCCTGTTTAAACACAAAATTTATTATATTATAAAATTTATTATAATATAAAATTAATATTATTTTCACTTTTACTTTAATTTCATTGTGAAAGTCAAACAACTACAGTTGCATGACTCACATATTCTCATATGTGTAATTTAACATGAATTATTGCGGAATTATGAATAACATATATTTTTAACTTTTTTGCACTTTTATGTAGTCATGAATACGTGTCAGTTATCGTTTTAAAATAAATTGATTTAGATACGAAGCTATGGATTTTGATTTGTCTGAACCAGTGAGAAAAAAATCTAAAAAAGGTGAGAATTTATATTGTTTTAAAAAAATTAATTAAGAAATTATTACAACATGGCTAAAAAAAGTTAAGAAAGAAATAACTGTAAGGGAATAAAAATCCTTTCTGATTTATAAATTATTATTTTTAATTTATAAATAGCCTTTAATATAAATATAATAGTTTCTAAGTTTTTATATAAAAATTTTCAAAAACAAGTAAAACTTTAATCATTTTAATTTATAAATTTTGTTGCATTTATTACTAATGAAATTAACATAAAATATATATGGTAAAAGTTTCCTCTGAATTAAGAATGTTTATTAAATGTAACAAATAAAGAATTTGTAATTCTAATCAAATAAAGTTAGTCAATGATTTTTTTTTTTAAATAACTTCACTTCGAACAAGGCTGCAAGCAACCACTATTAGAGTTGGAAGTTGCTAGAAGTGAAAAGATGGAGATTTCCAGCTGACAGGAAAACAAGACTCTGATGAGCATTTGTTAAATAATTTTAAAAGTATAGACAACAGCTCGGAAGAAAATCACTTTGGATACAGAAGTAGGAGTGATACAAATGTCAAGCAATTGATCAACCTGTTTGTTACATCAGGTAGGATGTGATTAGTGAAATAAAGAGATGTAATTGATGAAAGTTCTTTGTAAACAATTCATCTTTGTCTTTAGGTGAAGTATAAAAATCTGAAGTGTGTAAAAGTGCAGGAATAACAGATTTACCTTTATTATAGACACTGTTAAAGATTCTCCAGTAGTCTTGGGTGCCTTATTTTTTTTTACGAGATTATGATGAGCTGAGAGTAGCGGGTTTTGGCTTTCGACAAAACCTTTTTACTATGGTTTCTGGCAATAGTGAACAGACATTTGTTTTCTGGAGAGTCGTTTTGATGATATATATAGAAGTAATGGTTATGATTAGAAATTGTAGCAACACAATAAGAGGAAAACCGTGAAGAAGAGTGAGTCTTCGTCGGAATCGTTGAGAGGGAATAAGCACATTTGTCACCAGGAAAATTTCAAACCAAGGGCCATCACAAAGAAAATCACAGAAAGAGTCCCAGACACTTTTAAGGTAGTTGTAAGAGGTATGATGATAGGAAGATTCTGATGAAGAATGAGATATAGTTTTAGAGAGTTCGAATCATGATCAGAAGCACCTTAGGGTGAATGAGGAGAAACTGAGCACTGACTAGTATCAGAATTAAGGGATAACTTAAAAACAACAAGACATTAAAACAACTTAAAAATTTTAAAAATTTAACTTTTATAATAGTTTAATTATTATAACTTTAATTTTTATAACATTATTATTTAAAATAATAACAATAATTATTTTAAGTAATTCCTTGTTATAAAAAAGGATTATTTAAAAAAAGGGGGGGGGGGATATAAATTGTTTTTCCACATATATAAACAAAACATAAAGTTTTCAAAATGTTGAGTTCAATTGTATTTAAAATTTTCATTTTAGTAAAATAAGGTTTCTTATATTATATTCAGTTATTATATTTTATTTTTAAATAGCATATTTTATGTAGCAGTGATTCAATGGGAAATAAAGTTGTCTTAAGTTTTTCTTATTGAGATAAGTTAGAGCTTTGTATAAAACTCCGAAGTTTTTAGTTTACACTGACTTAAGTGCATACATAATTAGTTTGATGATTTCAAGTAATGTTCTTTTAGAATTTAATAGTGAAGTCTCTTTTTATTTCAATTTCATCAATAAGGATTTGGAGCAAGTTGGAGCTTAAATATTTTTTTTTTCCCTTTTTTTTAAAAAAGTTTCAAGTTCTTTATCTATAGTGTCAAAAAGTTTGCTAATATCACTCTTAGAGATTAATAAATTAATATCATCTGCAAACATGATGCTCATCAAATTTTATTTATATTGTTTATATCGATTAAAAAAAGGAGGGTTTCGAGGTTTGATCTCAAACTCCTCCTTTTTTTATTTAAATAATTGTTGTGATTACCAACAACAAGTTGTTTTTGGTTTGTTAAGTAACTTCTAAATCATTTTAACACTTGGTTATTAACTCCACAGTATTTCATTTCTTCAAGTAGAGTGTAATGATCAATCGTATCAAAAACATTTGATAGATCAATAAAGATACCTAAGGTATATTTTAGTTGCTATATAAGGTATATTTTAATTGTTCAAAAGAAATTTCATTTTTGAAATTTCATTTACAAATTGATTTTTGCATAATTTGTTGAGTTATCTTTTTTAAAACCGAATTTGATTAACATATAGAAGGTTATTTTTATCAAGCTGTTTATATACTGTGTTGCACATAGTTCTTTCTAGAACTTTTGAGAATATGAAAAGCACAGAGATGGAGCACTAATTAGTTGTTTAGGATTGGTCACCCTGTTTATAAATAGGTGTAACTTTAGCAATTTTTAATTGTTCGGAAAAAATTCCTTATTTAGTTAAAATTTAAAAATGTTCTTTTTAAAACTTAAAAAAAAAACATCTTTTAATTATTTTTTTTTTTCGGTCTGTTTTTTCAAAAAATGGCAAAAACTTTATCGATAACTTAAGCTAGTGGATCTCCCATTAGGCTGAGTAGGCTGAAGCCTAGGGCCCCTATAAAAAAGATGGCCCCAAATGAGGAAGAGTCCCAGCACCAAACCACAATTTGGATTTATTCTCAACAGAGAATAATTTTGCCACCTTGAACGTTTGCCAGCTGGTGTAGTTAAAAAAAATTGGCAAAAAGGATAAAAAAAGAATAAAGCTTTCAAAATTTTTTTTTTAAACAAAAAGTTTACATAGATTTTCTTGTCGAAAAGAATGAAAACAATATTAACCTAGATGCAAATAATATGTATAATCATAACAAAGAAATTTGTAAACTCTTCATTAGTTCTGATATAAATACAGAATGCAGCATTGTTGATTTTAATAGTGGAAATAATCAACAATTTTATTGTTAACTTCCTGTATCATTTAGTCCTTTCTTATTTGAACATGAAAAATCATATTTTTCATGTTCAAATAATAAAAAAGCACAAGCAAGTATCAAATTTTATATAGAATTGACAAAAAAAATAAAAACTTTTTTGATGCGTTTGGGTAGTGATTAAATTCTATTTCAATTCTCTAAGGGAGTATATACGCTTAGGCTTCGTAAAGTATATACGCTTAGGTGGGTAGTGGGGTCTACAAATAGCATGTATGAGATAGGGGACAAGGGGTCAATTATAAATGTACAGAGACACTAAATTAAAAAAAATATTATCAAATGTGAGGTAGGTAGGTTAAAAGCGTACAAACTTTTAGGTAGGGGGAGGATTTCTTAAAAAACCGTATAGCTTAGTATTGGGGGTAGGGGGAAGAAGAGGGTTTAAATTACTTACTTTATGGACAACCTCTAACGAGTTTTAACTGCTTAAAATTTTATTTAAGTCTGAAAATGTTTAAAGTTTTTAATTTGGATAAACTGATTCAAATAAAAAAATATATATTAATGATTGCTAATTACTTTTTTTTATGATCAAAACTCTGAATAGCTAGGTCGTGTTTTTCTTGCATTGATCAATTTTAGAAGTTGTAAACCTGCAAATTTATCTTATTGATTAAATATTTAATTATTGAATTAAATAGAATGAGCAAATCAGTTGAATATGTCAGTTGTAATGATGATGGAACTTCTCAATGTTCAAAAAAAAACTATAATGTCATTTTTTAAGGAAATAATAAAAGACTTTAATCTAAAAGTTGAAGTTCTGCAACAAAATATGAAGCAATATGGCTTAAGCAATGAACTTCAAGAAATAAAAACTGGTAGCAACTTATTTAGTGATCTGAGTAGAGAAAAATAAAGACGCACAAAGAAAATGTTAAATCAGTAAGTGATGAGTTATTTAATATTAAAAATATACAAGAAAAAATATTGTCAGATAATGAGTTAAAGTTGTGCAGCCATGGTGTAGTGGTTTGAGTGCTTGCTTTAGAAGCAAGAGATCCAGGTTCAAAATGAGCTCTGGACAAATTTTCGTGTCACGGTATAGAAGTAGGCGTGAACCTCCTAGTTAAATGCACTTTTTCGATGCTCTCTGCCATTATCGTAATGGTCTTCTTGGGGCACCTAAAAACATTAAAAAAAAAAAAGAGTTTAAAAGTGTTGACAGTTTACGAATTGGCGGTCTTAAAAAAAACTAATTATGTAAAAGAGTGGGAATTTACGAAAGAAAAATTTACAAAACTTTTTAATGAGAATCTCGTAATGGAACAGGATGTTAAAGTTAAATGTGCCTATAGTGTTGGGTTTGCTAACAATGAGCGTGTGTGAACAATTGTACTCAAACAACATGACTTTGAGGACAAAATTATATTCCTGGATAAAGCTCTTTGTCTTAAAGGTATATTTATATTAACTAGGATCACAGCGAAACGTAAGAAAAAATTGAAAAGAACTCTTTGCTAAAGCAAAATTTGACTAAACTAATACTTTTCAAAAGTGGTTTTGTCATAACAGTATAATATAATATAATATATATATAAACAACAAGCAATATATATATGTATACAACATACAATATATATTGTATACAACAAGTTTATGAATTTAAAAGTAGGAATTCTGAGGACCGCTCAAAGTTTAAAATCTTGGTCGGTTGATTTATATTAATATTTAGAGTTAATATCTTAAAATTCTTTTTATAATTTTTTTGTTTATTTTTAAAAATGAGAACGAGTACTTTAATCATTAAACGTTTTGAAAGTTTAAACTTTGACCCGTTCAGGAGGATATTAATGATAACTTATCAATAAAAACTTAAATATTTTTTAACACACCATATTTTAATCATTTTGACTTCAAAGTTACAAAAGATCTTAGTTCATTATTAAAAAAAAATAAAAGATATTAGTTCAATTTTTGTATTGCAAGTAAACATTAGAAACATGCAGCAAAATATTGAAAAGTTCGATGTCATACAGAGACTTTTCATGGTACAGAAAGTTGAGTTAAACTCTAACAATAAAATGTCATTTTATA